AGAAACATCAAATAATTACAAAAATGAAATACAAGTAAAACAAACTCAGTTTCTTTGGTAATTGAAACAGGAAGAATAGCTGTTGTCGGGTGTTTGTGAATGCTGGTGTGTCACCCAAAATGTTGTGGCATGTCACCTTTGACACATGAGTTATAGGTTCACTGTCACTGGCATAGATCTTTATATACTCTGTTCCCTTGATCACTGCTGATACCATGACTTGCGACGTTTCAGTGCAGTGTTGTGGAAGGAAGACAGAGGACTACTGAATTCTGTTTGGCAAATGCTAGTGCAAGCTGGTTTGATCTACATTTAAAAAGTCAATCAAATAGCTTCCGTTTTATTTTTTGAGATTTAAAAAAAGATGTCTGGATCTCTATTTTCAGAGAATACATGCAAACTTTTGTTTAAATGTGGATGTCCATGCCTTAAAAAAAAGCATTGTGGCAGCCTGCAGGAGTCCATGCCTCTCTGCAAGTCTGACAAATGAGTCCGACACTCATTGCTTGTTATGTGTTTAGCAGAACTTGAGTGTAGGAGAGGTAGAATAGTTTCTCATGATTTTCTTATAGGCAGTACTTTCATATAAGATGTCAGGCCCAGCCCAAGAACAATGGTGAAACAGTCCAGTTGAGTTAAGTTCCTTTTTTTGCTTACACCATATAGGGAGAATCTTGCCAGACTAATCTATACTACTACAACACGTGGATATACCCTGGGAGATTCTAGGGAGTGGCTATCCTGAACCTCTTTCACTTCCCACTCTCCTCCTGCAGACTGTATTGTCCTTTGTCTCTTTTCCCTTCGTGGAATGTGCCCCCTCCTTCCTGATAGCCTTGATCTCCCACATCACTCTCCTCTTTGCAGATACATTCCATCACATAAGGAAATGGAGGGACAAAGAAGTGGAGTCTTAAAAATGAGATTGAAGAAGAAGGAGCTTTGGGGAGGTTTGTTGGAGGTGTAATAGCTGACAGACCAGGATGGATCTAGACAGCCTTGGCTTTTGAAGCTTGTTGATATTAAGAAAGAGCAATGGTAGCTGGTGATCTGGAGATGGGCTCTAGGCGATTTTGCACTGCTGAAGGACTGCTGTTATCCCAGGAGAATCTGGGCAAGAGTCTCTGAAGTAGTGGTGAATGAGAGCTCAAAGACGTACTGAAGAAGAAGAGGAGTACTGTGAGGCATGATCTGTGTAATGCAGATAGCTTTCCTAGGAAGCTAAAGAAGAGAGGGCGAGAGCCAGCCAGCATAATAGACTGCTGGAGAGAGAGAATGCGGATCAACATAATTAACGCTTACTTATCTCTTAAGTAGGAAATAGGGGTGGAACATAGAAGTAGCTATATTTGCATTGAACTGGTACTCGGCCTACATGCATAACAAAGGAGACGTTGCCAGAAGCAGGTTTTACATATCTAGTAAAGAATCTTTTATTTTAGAACGGCTTCCCGGCTGGAAATCATTCAAGCCTCTGACTCATCAGCTCCCTGTCAATTTCTCCGGTGTTTATGCAGCAAGCAAGTGGAGAATACAGAAAAAAGAAGGCAGCTATATAGTTATAAATCACTTTTTCAAAGAAATACTGACTAAAGCTGAAAGCGGAGATTTGTTTTCCTTGCTTTGCTCCATGGATAAAATGGAAAACCGTTCACCAGTGTTGTCGGCTGTACTGTGTCCTCCTTCAAATCCCGAGAACCCACAAACGGATAAAGAGGTTGGGACAGTCAGCAATAGGGCAACACTCTTTTTTGATTCTTGATTCCATCCCACAATTCCAGGAAACAAATTAAGCATTATGGGGAATGTTCCATCTGTTCAGAGATGCAGTGCTAAATTCAGAAGAGTTCAAGATCATTGTCTGAATATACTCCTTCAGGTAGTTTTCTCACTGCAGATCCAGATCAGATCTTTGATATTGGAATAAGTTGGTATAACTAAGTTACAGTGTAGGCTGATACAACAGGTAGGGGCCAAATGATTATATGTTTATTTTTACAAAAGATTGTAATGCTTTACATACAGTTCCACATTGCTTGTGTGTCTTGTTTTGTAAACTTCCCTGGATACTGAAATGCAGTCTATGAATGTTTGATATAAATGAGTCAAGCTACTCAGTACTCTTTCAGAAGTTAATCAGAGAGTAATTGTCATGTTGAACAAGATACATCAGATATTTGCCCAACCAAAAGTCTTTTACTACTCTTTCTTCCCTTTTATAGCATTTTTAGATGATTTGCGTCCTCTTCACTACGTGCCTAAAAGGTTATGAGTTCAGTGTAATTTCATAGTTTAACACTTAACCCAGATAGTTCACTTATCATGCCTTGCCAGAAACATGGCTTTTATGGTTAGGATTAATTTTGAGCAACAGACAATCCCGAATCAAAGACAATTGGAAAATTCTCCCTTCTGTAAAGAGGAAGCATTTCAACTACCTTTTCTTATGGAGAAAAAGAAACCTTATAAATACCCATATTCATTAGTTCTGCCCCCAAATACCTTTCTATGAATTAGTTAATCTCTATCTGCTTGCCTTCAATCTCCAACAATTAATGCCACCTCACCCCATTCCATTATAATTATTCCATGCTGTCACCCCTGGTGGAGAATTACAGGGGAGAATTACACAAGTGGAGAATTACAAGAAGAATTACAGTGAAAATCATTGCATTGCTGCTCAAGTTACCTATTTTATTTTATTTTATTTTGGTCAGAGATTATGTACGTTTCTTCATCAGAGCAATTATTTCATTATACATGCGCCGGGGTGCGTCCAGACCCCAGATGAAATCGAGATGTGCCCATTCTGGAATGGATTTATGGGAAACAAGATGTTTAATTTGAGGCAGTAAAATAGCAATATCTTTTGGGTCTGAAAGTAAATCTTTTCCACCGGTCCATACCGCAGTTGGAACTGTCATATCGCCCACTTTATATATCGGAGGAGTAAACTAAAAAATATACGCAACAATACAAGAAATTAGTTAAGGCACTGGCTGTTTTTTTAAAAAATTCAAAATACATAAATGGAAGCATATTTTTAAACGAATTCTTTATAGTTCTTGGAAGGCTTACAACCATTAAAAAATAAAGCATAACAATATAATTAACGCAATGAAAATCAAAACCATTAAAAATGATTATAATGAACATCATTAAAGTAAATAGTAATTAAATGCTTGATGGAACAGGTGCATTTTTGCCATTTTCTTAAATATTGGGAAGGCGGGGGGCAACCCCCCTCTCTAGGGAACACATTCCATAGCCCAGCAGCAGGGAAATTTTTTGAAAAGCCTCTCCTGCTGATCCAAATCAACTGTCAGATTCACAATGGGGGAATTGGTTCCTCAGATAGCAAGACCCTAAGCCCTTTTAGAATTATGATTATTCCTCCTTCCCCTTTTAAATTACTCCCTTCCCTCATAGGACTTTTAGTTTTTACTAATTCTTTACTAAATATTGGGAGTATGTGTAAAATGTCCTGACTTCAAAATGGGCTGTTCTCTCATGAAGATCTATTCTAACTCCGTTCCCATACATTCAAGAGTTTCAGATATGGTCAGATAGAATGTGTGTTTGTTTGCTTTATTAGGCATATGTGCCATTCTGTCAACTGAGAATTTTAAAATAACAAGAATAATCAAGAATAAGCAATATGGACAGTAGAATATTCTTATGCTGAGGAATCATGTTGGCATGTCACAACTAAATGTCCTGATTATAATTTTATCATGGCTTATTTTATCATACATACATGAAATGTACATCCATAGTGATATTTTCCTTTGGGTTCAGCCCCTAAAGTTCCTTTGCTGTGCAAATTATTCCCAAACTGGTATAACCCAGAAACTTGCAGTGAGGTTGAGGAAATGAGTGAAACTGGTGTAACTTTGTAGGGGTTGGCCATGAGAAACAAGGAATAGGAATCTGGTTGCCCAAGTTTTGTAATTAGCAAGATATGGGAAAGATGTAAAGGTAAACAAGGGTAAAATATGTAATGAAATAAGGATGGGATAAGCAGCTTCTTAGCAGACAAAGTGGAGCTTGCAAGGACAGAATTGGGGTCCTTCTCAGGACAGAAGAGTGGTCCCTCTGGAGGCATAGGTTTGGCAAGAAGTAACAGGTATGGAGACAATAAGGGGTACAAAGCAGTCCTAAGGACTCCATTCGGCAGACAAGTTTGACCCAGAGAGGAAACAAGTCTGGAAGAAATGGCTAAGACAAGGAAAAGGAAGTGGTTGGCTTAGGAAAAAAAAAATAAAGAGTGAAAGATTTAAAGTCAGATAAGAACATAACTTGAGAGGAGGTATTCCAGAAAAGATTGAAAAGATTGAACAACCATTAGTCCAGGATGGTATGAGAACTCCTGTCTTGAGCTTTGGGTTGGACTAGAAGACCTCCAAAGTCCCTTCCAACCCTATGATTCTATGAATGAAGAGAAAAAAGGTAAAGATTTCAAGAAAGAGTAAGGCAAAAGATGACAAAGAGTGGATGGACAAGCTTTCAGTTAGGACAGCAAGTAACAAAATTGCCCATTTGCTTGGGAGTAAGAGGTAAAGGGAGAATGCACAAAGCTTTTTCCAGTTTTCTGGAGTGCCTGCTTGCAGGTTGGGTTCAAGAGAGGTGAATCTGCCCTTGGAGGAATGCAACCCATGAGTTAGCTGGGGGGAAGACTGTGGGCAAGAGAGTGAGGGGTGCGCCTAGTAGGAGGAACATACCCCCTGTTGGACAGCTGCGGGAGCAAACTGTGACTGGAGAAAGGAATGAGCAACCTATGTGGGTTTCAACTGTGGCCATCCAGGACGAAGTACACGAGGAATCAACAAGAGCCAAGAATTCAGAGGAGAGGAGAACAAACTGCTCTGTTCTGCAAGACAACTAAGGTTGTTGAATTGCGTGAATATGTTTGAGATTTAAAATGATTGGGCTTTTTTTAAAAAAAAACAAAACATGCCTAGCTGTTGATGACAGACAGAGAAAAATGGGGGGAGAGAAAGAAATTGGATCTGATGGGATTCATTCCCATGGAGTTCAAGAATTACTGATGCATAGTACTATAGATTTGTGTAGTTCTTGTTCTAATGCAAGAAGCAAAGTAGAGCTGTTCACAGTGTTCTGGTTCTGAGCACTCAATATTCATAACTGTATATCTTGGGTGTTATTGGGTCAATGGGGAGATGGAATTGCCTCTCAGAGTCCCCTGCTGGATGGACATTTGGGTGGCAGATGTGATGGGAAGAAATTCCATAACAGCTGAAAGAAATTCTGCTTGGCATATCTCTGCAGGGATTCATCTTTCAATCCCATACGCATTTTCAATGTTTATATATGCTTTTGGGACCATCAGGACTCCATCTCCACCTTATCCTTACAGATAGGACTGTCTGAATATGTCCTGGGAAGTTAGATTCACAACAATGAACAAATAGACAATAAAATGTTCATGGTAAATAAAATTCCATTTAAAAAACATGTTTTTATTGATTCACCCCCAATTCCTCTGGAATAACTTGACTTCAACTAGCAATCAGAAGGCTTTTAATGATGGAGAACATCTTGCCTCCACGAGGATGCTATTTCAGAAGACCATGGCCATCAGGGAGAAATAACACTTTCCTCTTACTTCCTGGAAATGGGGTACTACTAATAGTTTCTCCAGGGAAGAAACTATTTCTCCTTGGATGCGTTGAATCAGGTTGGATGAGATAGTCAAAGGTACCAGCTGCCAAAGAATTATTTCTCCCCACATACATTTTCTTTGCTTCCCTCTTTTCAAAAATTGCCTGTAAATAAATGAAGATTGCCATACCTGATTATGCTTTTTCTTATTCTTCATCTCATCACCCCAGTCAAAACCCTTGAATAATCCACAGCGAAAATTCTAGCAATAAGGCAGGAATGAAATTAAATACTCTATTACTGGATTAGTAATGATTAATCACAATCATACAGATACCACTGAATGTAGTTTCCACTGAATGTAGTTCAAACTACAATGGAACTATAACTGGCAGTAGAAGATCTGAACACTCACAAACTTTATATTCATGAGACAGTTGCAACTCTACACACATTTACCTAGTAATAAATCTTACTGTACTATTTTTGGGTAGGCACGTACAATATTGTAGTGTAAAAATTTGAGTCAGATATTTGACCTAGAGCTACAGAGAACTTCATTTGCTCTTTTTAGTTGGACCTCTGCCAAAATGCAACTGTCTTGGTCAAACATACTTCTTCAACTTTCAAGTCAGAATTGTTTAGCTATTTTGGTTGAAGCTTGTTGTTTGACTAAAACTCTTCAAGTCATATTCAAGAGTGCTCAGCCCCAAACACTCCAGCTCCAGTTCTCCACTGATATCCAGCTGGTGAAAAAAAGATCACCTGAAAGCAAGAAGGTGACGGTGTCCAAAAAGTCAAGAGGGTGACCAAAACCACACAATCACAGCCTTGCTTTCTTTTTATTTGTGCTGCGTACGATGCATGTAAGGAGTGGGACTCAGATCACGTAGCTGCAGATTCAATCTTGATTTTTTTGACTTCTTTCTGAGGATGTTCCAGCCTGATGGCACTAATCCAGGACGCAGTGAGCCTGATATGAAGGACAGTTCATGACTTTTCCCCCATTCGGTCCCTTGACTGCTTGCCACTCAGCCTTAAAATAGTTTGGGATGCAAAGATTCTTTGCAAATCTGAAATAGTGCTACTATACTATACTACTATACTGCCTGTTGGAAGGCTTCCCCCCCCCTCACCTCTACTTATCTATTTATAAATATGCAACTCTTAGAGAGAAAACATAGGCTTTTGGTGTTCTTTCATACAAAGATAAGTAAGGTATATAATGCCTTGGCACATGACTGTTTGAGAAAGTGAAAAGTAAGGATTTCCCTCTTGATATAATTTTTATTGTTCTTACTTTGAACATATTTGCCCCCCAGAATCAGAGCTCGGAAACCAATAAAATAAATCTTTAAAATATTCAAAATACAAAATCATGTCTGTCATTTTACCTTTGTTACTACAGATCTGTGTTTTTCAAACTTGGTAAATTCCCTGCTGGCTAGGGAATTTTGGGAGTTGAAGTCCACAGATCTTAAAGTTGCCAAGTTTGAAAAACACTGCCGTAGATGATGCCATAATGGCACAAATAAGTAACGCTATTCTAAACTATTACTTCTTAACATGCAATAATATTAAAATAAGCAAATATACCTGTCTCCAATGTAATATATTCTGTACTGATGTTCCAGCTGGTGATCGGGCTGCATATATGTTTATTCGGCTCTAAAGGAAGGGAGGGAGGGATGAAGGAAATTTTAATCTCCTTGAAATGAACATTGACTTTCAGTCTAATGGAAAGATGAATAGATAGATAGATAGATAGATAGATAGATAGATAGATAGA